GTGACAGTTAGCAAATTCCTGCCGTACCTCCTGTGCCGCAGTATCATCACGTGCTTGTCTTTGCTACCAGGTGTAGCGCATGTGGGTGCGGGTGCCTTCAAACATAAATTACCAATAAACACACATTGTGTTCAGTGTCAGGGAATTAATTGAGCTTTCCGGAATGAAAGCCTTTTGGCACAAAAATGATAAACCGAGGCTGACCTACCTGAATGGGTCCCACTGACATCAGCAGGTTTTTCAGTTGGACATCAGTAGTTGATGAAGAAAGCCCTTCAACTGACACGATACAGGGCTGAGGTTTGCACTCCACCACTCGCAGGTTCTGTTTATTTGGCATCAAGCGTCCTCGGCCCATCTGGCCTGCTACTCCTCTGCCTCTGCCGTGCATAATGACCTGCCAACAACAAGAGTAACAGTATTTTGATTTACTTACCTAGTGCTTCTGCTCACTGCAACTGACAGACGATATAGAAGTTGGTGATTTACTTAAAGACTTGACTAAAGAACGAGTTGATTTAAAACAGCTTGTTGCTGTTTGCTGATTTGAAAGGCCACTTATTAACATATTCATCCACTGCTTATACAAACCTCTCTCAAAAGGATAGTGAGTTACATATTGAATTATATACATTGCATTGAGGCTAAAGGCCTCAGCTTTAGCACAGCTCGACCAAGCAGTGGAGGGTCTCAGACCAAAATATATAACCTAGTTTTCAACAGTGATCACGTTAGCAGCATGTGTTCAGTCCCCGTATTTTGAGTCTGGCCAGAAAAAACAACCAGTGATCCCTCTCCTTTTTCTTTTCTCAACCCCCAGGTAAATTTAACGTACCCAACAAGACCAGCAAACTGCTTCAAGCACCTCCAGTCTCTACTGCTACCAACTCTTGGTCTGTTACCGGGATGGAGTACTCACACATGCTACATAACTTTAAAACAACTCTTTTCAAAGTTCCTTTCCCCCACATCCTGTAGGATCTGGCACCACAGTACCTTCTGGAGCAGGAAATGTGTGGATTTAATTCTTGTAAATTAAAGGTTGAACAGTTGGAGAGAGGAAAAAATAACAATGAAACAGAGTAACAAACATTAAACAGAGCTAACACTTAACACTGAGTTAAGACTCCACATGGTTTCCCCATTTCTACTTGGAAAGCCTATGGAGGGTAATGACTTTTCACACCCCTCCGCATCAGCAAGGAGACTTTATCCTTACATGAAGCAGGAAGATTATGGCCAACAGTTCAAAACCAAGAAATAACTTGAAAGCCAAAATACCAGCAATTTCCAGGGAGCATGCCAGTTTGCAAATGCAGAGAAGGCACACGCCACTGCCACCTGATCCCACCACTCCCTGCCCCCTCCCAGTGCACCACCAGTGCAAAAATCAAGTTACGAGATCACCGTTTTGAGCGATACCAACGCTGAGAATCGACCGAAGAGCATCCTGAAACAGTTGCTGTGCGCTCCTACATATGCAGGAATCAGCTGGAATAAAAGCTTAAACACAACTTCAGAAAAACTCTTGGTTTTAGAGCCAGAAAGCACGTTGGATACCACCTCCTACAGTAGCTATCTTGGGACGCACGCAGTTCCCCCAGGGAATATCATGCTGGACAGAAAGTCAGCAGATGAAACAACCTTCAGGCATCTCCAGTCTGTGCTGGGTACAAACAGGCCTCTCCAGATTAAAAGCTTTCAATGCAATTATGCATCTCCTGCGTCATGCAGCCCTATGCTAGCAATTGACAAACAGAATGCTAGCTATTAATAGAGCAACACAGCTAGACAGGAAAACTTCTAGCAGCAATATGCATCTAAAAGAAAAATCACCTTTTTAGGCTGATGGATTCCCTGGATGTTTTTGACTCCTTGAGGAGCTGGTGAATGGATCTGTGCCTGCTGCTGCTGTTGGTGCTGCTGCTGTTGCATTCCCTTTGTCAATGTGACCTTCCGCACTGGCTGCTGTTTCGGCTCCGGGGGTTGGTGAGGCCGCTGGGGCTGGCCCTCTGGGTGAAAAAAGCCAGCATCCTCTCCCCCCTGCTGAAATCAACAACACAACAGGCGGCTCCGTGCCCGGGCACCGCAAACCCTCGCCCTGCGCAGCCGCCTGCTCCTCAGCGCAGGGAGGATGCCCAGTGCTTCGCCTGCTACAGCAAAGCGCCGGCCGCCGCAGGCGAGTGCACCGGTTCAGCCGGGAAACCGTCCTTCAGCCTAAAATAAATCCACAGTATCTGAAGTACAGTTTCCTTCATTCACACTATTATAATTGCAGCATTCAATAACATCTTTTCATATACAAAGCAGCAAGGTGATTTTGCTTCCCTTCCCACATCATTCTTCCTTCCAGGGTTACATGTGAACTATGGTGTGCTATTTTTTTTATTACTCCTATTCTGAATTTTTTTTTTTTTCTTCCTTAAAGAGAGACATACACATTGTGGAAGGAGCAAAGAACTGCAAAGCCTGGAAGAACCAGGCAAATACTCTCCTCATCTTCAAAACTCCAATCTCTCTTTAGTTAAAAACTGGTATTTCTTTTGAAGCGCACACTTCTTCTGCCAACTTCTATACCAGCAGCCTTTTAAGCAGTCTCCTTCCTCAAACACTGTCCGTACTTGGAACAGTTCTTCCACAAGGTTGGGTTTTTTTGTTTGTTTGTTTATTTTATAAAGGTCTTGTTATAAACTTTTATAATCACAAGCACAACGAAACACCACCTCAGTGCCTCTCTTGCCCAACATAGCTCTTTACACTACATCTCTCAGTGCAATCAAGCACAGTAAAAGCATAAGCTGAAAGCACTAAGAGAGAAATTATTTCCTTCCACTGCCTCTACCCAAACAGCTCGTTTTTTCTACACACACGTGACTTTTGAATGTGACTCCTGAATCTGTGTCCTGCTGTCCAGATCAGATCAATCACTGGAAAACATTCCATGGAGCAAGAGACAGCAGAGCCCAACAAAAGACTGAGTACTTTTGCAACTATGAAGCACACCTTATTATTGCATGGTTTCACCAGCAGTATCTGTACCTTGACTGGACTCAAACTTTAGAACTCAAATACTAGTGAAATTTGCATGTGCAGGGGGAAGGCTTTGTCTAAGTCCCTAACCAACCTCAGGTGACACTGCAAAAGCTCTCAAGTAGAAGGCACATCTGAAAGGGGGAAAAAAAAAATTTGAAAGCATCTTTATTTACATAGGCATTTTTTTCCCTTTCCTTTCATAGTAACTGGCACGTTTCTTCCAGATAAGAGACAAAATATGGGGCTGCAGAGGAAACAGGTTTATGCTTTAAGAGTGAGATTATCTTGATTGAGAATATAAATCATTACCTCTCTACTGGGATTAAAAAAAAAAAGAAAAGGCAACACCTACTAACGACTGGTTACTAAATCTCTTTGCTATCACTTGAAGAGAAATAGCCTGGTACAGGTGGCATGTAGGATAGTCTCATCTTCGCAAGTTCTCCAGTTCAGAATTCGCACCCCTAAATCAAGTCCTCTGTATTATCAAGTATATGCAGGCAACAGCTTCAAGAACTCAACTACTCAAATCCCAGACAAACCAGCTCCATCACCCCCCTGCACCGTCTACACTTCAAAAGCAGAATCTGTCAGAGGGAAAAAATCTCGAAGCTCTTCCCACTTAATGGCTTTAGTCCACAGCATCCAAAGCGAGAAAGCAACAGAAAACTGCATCTAGTTATCCCACTCCTAATCACATACATTTTTTTCTCTGCTAAACTGAATGGCTTTGTGGCTTCACAGAAAATCTTGTATACAAACCTCTGAGAGCAGTAACTAGTAAGAAATTATAAAGCTTTCCCTTTAGAGCCTCTCACTTCAATTACTGCTCAAAAACACAAGAGCAAGAGCTCCCCCCCCTTCCTGAAAAACCCAAATATATGCACACAAACAAAACCTTACCAGGAAACCAGCATTAAATTCTCCCCAGTTTAGTATTAGTTCCAGTATCAGCATCACCATAAGCCCTATGCCCTGATCAGATAATTTCTTTTATTCAGCCCTACAGCAGCTGGAAGATGATGAAACTAAAAGGAACAAAAAAATTCTAGAAGAAATTTAAACACAGTAATTCAGAGCTAAAATCTAATATCTGCTAGCTGCCTGCTGTGAAAAACAACCACAAATGTTCGCAACCATTTCTTTCTGAACCAATAAACGATCCCAGCACACAGAAAGAGCATGAGAGTGAAGCCCTCAAGGTACAAAACACGTCGAACATGCTCATTACCGAAACTTCTAAAACAAACAATTGTTTCCCATAAAAGGCTAGGATGGCCAACAACCACCCAATATTGAACCACTAAGCCAAATCATCACCAAATAAAACTACATAAACTAAACACATAACTGTAACAGAGTCAAAGGCATAAGCACACAACGCTTGTTCACACTGACAAAAAATTTGTCAGGGTTTGTTCCCTGCTGGGGTCTCAAATGCCACCTTTGGGCTTCACTGCCAGTGTGATGCTCCTGCAGAAGCCTGCAAAGGTAGAAACATCTCCAGACTTTCTAATGAATTAATACATTTCAGATATAAGAAAACCCATAGAAAACAATAGAGAAAGTTCACAGGGTAAGAAAAGGGGATGGAGCAAGGTCTGCTTCTTCCCACAGTAAGAAGGAAGAAAGGGCATCTGGATCAAACCCTTTCTTTACACTACTGCCCTGAACATCATCTGCTTTTGGAGATGACTTGAAGAGGGCAAGCAGAGCTGAACCTGCAGCATCACTTCTCAAGAGAGGTCCATGAGCAAGCGACTTAGTGCTCAAGGACTAAGAGTGCTCCCTGCCAGACAGCAACACGTTGTTTCCCATTACAGGTAGCCCTGGTTTCAACTGAAGACCAAATCTGGTGGTTTTCTTAAGAAAATGAAAACCAAATGTGACTCCTAGGTCACTACGTGCCTAACAAGCAAAGCAGCACAGCCTCAGGTAACAAATTTTAGCACCAGTTCCTTTTCCACTCGTTAAAGACATGGCAGTGCAAGGACCAGCACTGTCTGAGCCAAACTGAAGAAGCTATGTCACAGTAGTTAGTGGCAAATTAGACTCACCACCAACATCATCCTTTCAACTCCCTCTACGCAAGGCAACTGGGGGCTTCTTCAGGCATGTCAATGAACAACAACTAAGTCCAGCAAAACACCCACAAAGCGTTTTTAACATCTGGACTTAAAGGTGTAAAACCTCAGAACATTACTTACAGGTCACACGCTCATAAGAGAACATGAACATTTTGGAGGAAAAGACGTACGATTGTATAGATGACTCTACATAGGTTGACTCCCGATTTTCACTCCGGAGGTATACAGTGAGCTGGCACCCAGAAGGGGAATCAAAAGACACAGCAAAGCTACAGGCAAGCAAGCAAGTGAACTGAAGCCGTATTGCAGAAGCTACCCCAAATGTACCCCCTACATCATAGGAACTAAATTGCTAGCATCCCTTCTACTTCAAATGTCTCCGTTCCAGCTCATCTGAAATCAACTTCTGCTTCTCCTAAAGACAATTTCTGTATTGCTAATTTTTTCATGAGCTTACATCACTGCCCTTCCAAAACTTAAACCTGTAGCAACAGAGGTGGTATTAAAATTTTAAGTCTTCCCTCATCAAAATACATTTTTATTTGATTATTTTTTACAGCATTTTGGGACTTACAGGGCAACACTAAATTTTTCAGAGATGCATCTATTCATCATCATGGCCTCCATACAATTTGATGCACAAAGTGCTGACACCAGGTAGAATACTTCTCAGTCCACCACTGAGACCTGAGACTGATTGATACAAGCTCTGGTTTTTAACTGCAAATTTCCTCCACAAGGTCCTATGCAGGGAAGTGAACTTCCACTCGTTGTCTGCAACACAACAAAGGAAGAAAGTTCTCCTGTTATTGTCTACTGACTAATTTCTACACTACAAATCATTCTGACCTTCAAGCTCGGAAGTTCCAGGTTTTATAGAAGGCCTACCTTCCCAACACACAGCCAGGAAAGAGTTCTCTCGAATGAAACTTTACCACTATTCGGTTAACTCTGGAGTAATGAAAATGCCTTTTTTTAAGCCCCAGGAGTTCTGTCCAGAGGAAAGTATAAAAACTACCTTTCAAACTTCAAGCACTGCAAGATTTCTAGTGGTGTCAAAACAAGTTAATTCCAAATAATGTAATTAAACAAAACTCAAAAGATCGAGGCAAAAGGATTTGATCTACATGGTGAATGGTTTTCAGACTTCTCCTGTGGAAGAGTCTGCACAGTTTGACCCAAAACTGGACTAACAAAAAAGAGTAATTACGTCATTCAATGGCCATGAATTGTAGAACTGATTCACCAATACTTATCAAGGCTGTTTTTCAACAGTGAGACTCTCTCACTATATATATATATATACACACACACATATATATATATATATATGGGTCAGTGTTGTGTTTTGACAAACATAAAGATCATTCTGTCAAATACGAGATCACAAATTCTAAAAGCAGAATTTTACGAGGGCCTGCTTGAATTTAGCAAGCTGAAGCTCTCTACTCTATCATAACCATTATGACAGTTTTACAATGAAGATGAAATTTATTTGCCACCAACATTAGCAGGACAAATTTATATATAACAAATGCTTTAAAATGTACTGATAAAAATGCCTATTGATACTGTCAGAGCTGCTTGCAATTTGACAGATCAAATCTTATTTTCATTCTTAAACCCCATGAAGGAATGGTATCACCAACTTGCATTCTGTAGTGAGCAAATTGATTAATCCCCCTCTATAGAAATCTCAACTCTTGATTATACCTATCAGACGTTAAGCAGCATTATTCTAGAGTGACAACACTTGACAAATTCCCAAACCATTTTTCTCAGCCTTTGTGGCCATGCTAGCTTGTATTAACCCTGATGAAAAATTAATTTTCCTTATCTTCTGCTAAACCCCAAAATCCAAATCCGCCAAACTGGCAACTCTTTCTGTAAAGGTATTATGAAAACCTCTAAAAGATTAATTGCATG